ACCTCAAACTGAAACCTTTTTCCTAATACTTCTGCTGCCGGGTAAACATTGTTTACAATCCTAAACTGCATATCTTTTATTTTGGGTATTACTGGCCATTTAAGAAAACTACCAAACATGTTCTGATATTTTACATTTTCAAATTGTTTAATATTTGTTGATGAATTGAAATCTGGATTTAATTTACTTTTTAATATATTTCCTATTAGTTTATTCTTACATTTTTTGTCCCCGATATATATTTCTCCAAGCTTTAGTTCGGGCAGTTTAATAATTACATTTGAATATAAAAGGGTATTATGTATTTAATGGGATAGGGATGGCTTTACACAAATAATTGAATTCTCTTTCAGAGCATTTTAGATCAAATTTTTCCATAAATGAATTATGGTCAATTATCTGACCCTCATTATCTAACAGAAACGCCACATAACAAACATTTTTATCAAACCATTCTTGTTTAAAAACTGTCTTCTTATTTAGTGTAATTGCTCTATTATTCCATAAGGTGGCATTATGAGGTAAGAAGTTTGGAGTATATATCGTTTTCCAATAATACAAAATCTGTTTGTTGAAACCAGAAATTTTAATTGGCAATTTAGAAACCTCAAAATCGCATTTCAATAATAGTTCTAGACCCCCTATTTTTTTTTAAATATATAATTGGGTATATGAAACCACATTGAATTTGGCTGAGCTAAATATGATTTTATCCAGTTGAATTTAAGAACACCAACCATTGATTCAAATTCACATGCTTTTAAACCTCCATTTTTATAATCTTTGATCATTTGAGATTTCTTTATATAGTGTGTTTTGTTTTTCAGTAAGTTGCACATAACCCCTATTGCTTATGGCCTCGCCTCCTCCAGCGTAGAATTGTGACGTCTGTCGCATTTCAATGACATGAAATGCGACATGGCCATTCAGACTGAAGTCGCATTGCAAAACATTGGATATGTATCCGATTTAGGACCACATATGAAAGTGGCCTGGGCCGGATTTGAAAAAATCAGATTTGTGCTGTTCACACTGTCATAAAGAAATCGGATATGAGTCACATTTGGGCAAAAAAGATCGGATTTGAGCCACTTCAGCCTGCAGTGTGAATGTGGCCTTGGATGTTGGTTCACATATTTTTTGTGTATCATTGGTCATCAAAAGAAACATATAAAACAACTGAATAAAACAAGTTTGAGGTTCAGTCTGTGTTTCCTTTCACAAAATAATATGTCTTTCATTCTTGTTTTTAGTTTTCTTTGTTTAGTTTTTTCGGTAACACTTTGCAGTTAGGTTACATTAATGTTAAAGTATTAACTCATACATTATCATAGTTTTTAAAGACACTGCTAACATTAGTTGATACAATAATAATACAACAATCTTTTTTTAAATATTTTTAACGACTTTGAAGAAGCAGCCCGTTCCTTCATTAGCTCTAGGTTTGATTATTGCAATGCTCTGTTTGTTGGTATCCTCTCTGTACTTCTGTCTTGCCAGGTGCTCACAAATGGAAGCATAAAAGTCTGATTTTGGCCTCACTCCACCTTTTTAAAATATTATTTGTTCTTCTCCTCCAGCTCTTCATGACCTGGCCAGTATGTTTGTGAGGTTAGTTCACTTTGTCTAGAGACATAATAGCAATTATTATAAATGAAGTGCCTTACTTAAAGAATTTTGTGAAATGTCATTCACACGGTTGGTATCAAGTGTGACGATAAATTCAAGCCCCTTATGTCTAAAGAAAGACAAAATCAGAGGACCCCTCTGTATCCCAAGGAAAGTGGGACACGGTGTGTGTGCTTGGCTGTGTTTGAATTTTTGAATCAAAAGCAGCCACAACTTTTATCTCAGGTTTTTAAAAACAGTGTGTGGTATTTGTGCTCTGAAAATAAAAGCAGATGGGCTCTTTGAATAACTTATAGAGGGTTATTTTATACTTGCCACCAAGAACCCATCTCCTGTCTTTTAGGCAGAACACTT